TCCAGCATACCTTTCATTATCTTGTCTGTTAATATTGTCAGCTCCATGGGACAGGGACTATTTTAATGAGTGACCTCCAGGACAACAGAGCTCCTTCTCAGGTCAGGGTTTATAACCTCTATTGTAAAACAAAGAACAATAAGTGTGAAAATATCTTTGAATTGTCTAGACCGACTGCTGCTTCAAACACAAAAACCCCATTATAAATATCACTCTACACATCACATTCTTCCAGGGATTAAGAAGCTGATGCCATGCTAGTGACCTGTCTGACATTCTGGAACCTGTGGTGGCCACAGGACTTTGAAACCATCATTTATCTTTGCTTTCTCCTCTCTCAGCTTTACCTTTCTTGGAAGTAGCTGGCTATATGTGGAAGTGCCCAGAAGGATAGAGCAGGATATAAATCTAAATAACAACAACAATGATGATGATAATAATAATCAGGTGGCTTTAATTTTACCCCAAGGGACTGCTGCTCTACTGCTTTTATGGCTTTGGCTTTGCAGACATTTAGGAAAATATGTGCTGCTGGGAGAAGCATCCTGCAAAAGAGGAGGCCTTCCCTTCCACCCTTTATGGCTGTATTCCATGGAGGCTATCTTTATTTGGAAAGGTTTGCTTGATTTAGGCCTCTCAAGTAACTTCCACAATCCCTGTTCTTTGGAGGACCTGAGCTGTTCCTTGACTTAAGGGAATTCTGTGAGACAGTTGTAGTTCCTCCTGTGGTTTCCCTTCAGATGCCTCACATTTTCATTTCCCCACTTCCCACCATGACTTCATTGCTGCTTCTTGGCCACTCGCAATTTCATTGTCATTCTTCCCACGTGAGTCACTTATTCTCAAGGCTTGGTTGCTTTTACAAACAGTGCACAATGGTTTGTTGCTTTGGTGCTACACCGTCCTACTTGGATTGCAAACGGAAGAGAAGGGGGCCCTTGGTGACTGGTGGTATCCATGGCTGTGGGGTACCTGGTCTGAGGATAATGTGTGGAATTTAGAAAAAAATGTAGAACAGTGCTGTCCAGTTGGTGGCCTGTGGGCCACATGCAGTGCCTGATTTCCCGATTTGGGTGCTGATGCCCCCATTCTTCTCCTGTTGCTGCCATCACAACCTCAGGGGTCCTCCACCTCCTTCCTCCAGCTTCTGCTTCTTGCCCCCATCCCTGGGGGTGGGCAGGGCAGTGCAGCCCATGGGGCCAAGGGAGCCAATGGCTGAAGGGCTCTGGGGGACCTGGGGACTCCACCTAGCACACAGGCACAGTATGTGGCCCAGGGGGCACTCACAAGTTGGACAGCCCTGCTGTAGAGTATAATTTTACCTTTAAATAAAACTTTACCCTTGAGATTCTCAAAGCACTTCAAGTTATCTTCTCTTCCCTCTTTTAGGATTTCCTAAAACAATCAAGACTCGAGAGAAGCTTTCTGAATATCTAACTGTGGTGATATTTACAGCTTCAGGCCAGCATGCAGCTGTGAATTTTGGTCAGGTATGAGTTTGAGTTTAGGGGATGGGTACAGCTTACTTTGGTTGGGAGTGTGCAGCTACAAGGGCCTGGACTGGGATAAAATAATTTTTACTACAGTATATGGCTACACATGACGTTGCCTTTCTATTCCAAAAAGACCCTTTAGACATTTGCAGACTCTAGCTTGCAATTTTCCAGGTATACCTTTGGAAAGTCAGACCTCTTTTTTCAGTTTCTAAAGAGGGACCAAATCCATTGGACTAAAAATTGGAGTTTTTTAGCTTTAATGTTTAAGACTGAGCAAAATGTTCGCATTTCTAAAGTGCCTTAAAGTGATACAAGTCATGTTTACTAGAATGACTGAAGTATCACATATACCACTAG